TAAAACAAAAATACAATAAATAGTACTTGTTTAATTATTTGGTTTTACAGCCCGCAAATTACGGGACATGATCCCCATGAATTGCGATAAATAAATGCTGATTGTGTTGAATGACGGACGTCGGGACCGTTTGGAGAAACAAATTACGGTCGGTAGACATTTCAAACAAATGAAATTATTAACGAAAGACGAGATTTTTCTAGGTATTTACGATCATACGGTCATACCAAATATATACAAAATTGACAAATACACAAAGAGGTGTAATAGTAGGTCATTTTTATTTTAGCCTTAGAAATATTTTCTTTCACTCATCCACGTCCATGCGTGGGATTTCTATTTAGCTTCATGGTCCTTCGGCTTGTCTTCTGCTTGGGGGGAAACAACAATAATTATACAAATCGTAAACTCAACACAATCAGGAAAAGAAACCCAGACAACCATGTTGTACTTCTGTTGAATACATTTTGTAGCAGTGCGTCACGTCGGAATATTGTCTAAAATATAATATTCAATCCCAGCCAAATCTAGGTCAAAGGGTCAGATTGCGTGCATATAATTATAGATAGTTACAACAAAAAGTATTTGAACTTTTGACGGTTGTTCAACATCTATGCACGGTTACTAAACTAGTAACCGTGATCTATGAAAACCAGAAAATTTTTAGTAGTCCGAATTGTTGCACGGTCGAAAATAAAACGGAAATTGACCGGTCAAAAGCGGAAGCGGTCAAGAGGTTTTGGGGGAAATGAGTAGAGTACTTCTTTGTTTGATGAAGCGATGCTGATGCCACATTGTCGCCATAATGAGGCCACAATGAAGCGAAGCGATATATGGAATACATTTCGTTATGAATTATTCTTAATATCAATTTCTAAATTATCTTGTCAAAATCAGTTTTTTTTTCAGGGTTTTTCCCCCAAAATGAAAGAATTTCATAATGTCGGACACAGGAAGTTTTTTTTTTTATTATTATTTATTGGGAACGGAAGTCTTTATCGTAGTGCTTCGCCTCGGTTGACAATGAGCTCTTCGGGACGCTAAAACTGTATGTCCACCTCTGTTGGGGTGAACATTTGTATTATTATACTGAATAAATCTTAAAACAGAAATTGTGGCACTCAATCTTCCAGGTCATCGTTAGAAAGATTTTCGGAGGCAAATTTAATCTTGAAGGATTGCAGGAAATTGACCCTTGCCGATTCATATTCATGAATTAATCGGGATTCAGGTACCATAGTGTTTGTAACAGAAAAAAAAAAAGAACTTTCGTGTGGGATTTTTCATGCAAACATTGTGAATGGTTCCCCGACACTGATTCCTTTTTAACTTTAAATTTTTCTAAGACGCGGCATACCCTGCTCATGATCGGAGACGTCGTCGAGATGCAGGTTCGATTCCTCTTAGCAATGCGTTTTATTTATTTCCAAAGCGTGTGGTCGGCGCCTTTCATTGCGTTTATTTTGTTCTTTTATTCACGTAATCTATCACTGGCAGTGTTGTTTTGTCACATCTCACAACTTAATGTCCAAGCTGACTTTGTTTTGGCTGTAAGTGAACTACGTACAGCTCATGGAGGTATTTCGCCCAGAGTTCGCAAAACGGAATACCCCGCAAAATTTGAATCCTTTATTTTATAACGAGACATTGGGCGCAAAAATAAAATCATAATTGTAATTCAACAAGTTTAACCGCCTAGTTAAAAAAAAAACGTGATCCCCATTGATGTCGGCTTCGATAACTTCAGACAAGTAAGATGGGCGCTGGCCGACATTACATTTGCAAGTATTGTATTTGTTTGACAAATTGTACACTACGGTCATTCTATAACAATTGATTGGTCGTTTTATTTCACAGTCTTACTATTCCTGCAGATATTTTTCAATTGTTATAGGTGCCATGGATTTACATATACTACAACTTAACCCATGTTAAATCCAAACCATGCGTGCATGACAACCGTCACCCTACACATGGTTACTCAACGAATACCGTACTCAACAGTAGACATTTTTCGCTCTCCACCAAAAATAGAATGATTTTATTTCATATTAGTTGTGTCTGTGTCAGTGTCGTATTTGATTTCACATGTTTGGTTCGATCTTGTTTATGGTGGACATTATTACTACGCGTATGTATTATTACCAATTTTATATGGCAGTGTGATCCACCGTATTTTTTCAACGGTCATTCTATAAATTTCTGATTGTATTTATTCTTATTTTAACATCATAAAAACAAAAATGATACACTTGAACATGAAACAGTAGGTAATGAACTGTAAATGCGGGCGGTTGCGCTGTCAGGCGAGCGAGCGAGCGGATACATCCGGATTTGCGCGGTCAAAAAAAAAGCGGAAATTGTCCGGTCGAATTGAAAAAAGCGAGCGAAAAAAAAGCGATCGAAATCAGGAAGCGAGCGGACGTTAGGCGAAATGAGTACTGTATCTCTGACATTCAAACTTTACATATACCTAACACATATCTGATTCAAAATGGCTGATTAATGGTCAATTTTTTTTAACGAACACTGTTTTTGGATTCATATTGCAAACATAGCTGGACTGATAATTTCACACTTTACACATACAACATAAAACATCAGTTTCAAAATCTGATTCAAAATGGCTGGTGGCAGAATAAAGGAAGGAATGGTATAAATAAACTTGTTGACGAAGTCCGAAAACGGGGACTTATAATTCGGTGTCTGTCCTTCTGTCCGTCCGTCCGTCCGGAGTCGTATCTCAGAATCCCTTGGACCGATTCTGTTCATTCTTTGCATGTGCCTAGTACTTTATGTGGGACATATGCCCATGCAGTGGTTTAGTGATTCGATTCAAAATGGCCAACTGGCAGCCATCTTGTTTTTTGAAATGTAGTATTTTGGACATGCTTTGTCAGTTTTCATTCAAACTTGGTACAGATTATACAAGTTAGGATACATGTCCATGACGATTAATTTCACATTTGGATCAAAGATGGCCGACTGGCAGCCATTTTGTTTTTTGAAAATGACGTATTTTGGACATGCTTTGTCAGTTTTCATTCAAATTTAGTACATAGATCATACATGTTAGGATACATGTCCCTCACCGTCCGTGAGTTCCTGAGTCCGTCCGTGCGTCAGTCTGTCCAGAGTCATATTTCCGAATCCTGTGGACCGATTTCGTTCATTCTTTGCATGTGCCTAGTACCTTATGTGGGACATGTGCACATGCAGTGGTTTAGTGATTCGATTCAAAATGGCCGACTAGCAGCCATCTTGTTTTTTAAAAATGTTGTATTTTGGACATGCTTTGTCAGTTGTCATTCAAACTTGGTACATAGATTATACATGTTAGGATACATGTCCGTGACGATTTATTAGTCCCCGTTCGGACGC